ATTAAGGCATTTTTGAGTTAGTTATGAGTTTTTTAAACTTTGATTTTTCAAAAATATTGGCATATACAAATATGGATTCAAAAAATGCTAATATTTTAAGCTTAGTTATGATATATTTCCGATTCGATCCTTTAATTCAATAGCTAACTGTAAATGTTATTTAAATTTCTTCTCCCAAAGTTAGATGCCTTTCTTACCACACGAGATATTATCAGTTTAGATATAAATTGGGTTGGGAAAGTTCAAACAGCGGAAGTGGCACTGTAAATATTCGATTGGACATAACATAATATATTGCATATATATTTAAATATTTTCGCGGGCTGTGTGTGGGTCGGAGGGCTTGTGGGCCGCCTTAGAAAACAGAAACGCTGGCATTTCGAAATCGTGAAAGAGTGGCATTCTTCTCTTCGCTGGGCGACCCAATAAATAACAAAGGCCAAATTAGATGATTGCGTCAAAATACAAAGCGCGTTTCAATTTCCACCTCCATTTCATCAGGTCAACCTGTTGTTGGTCGTTCGTGGCTTCTTTTTTTGGCGACACACATTCGTAAACAGTTTGACCATGAATTCGATTTTGAATGCAAAAGTCCCAAAAGCGAGGAAACGAGAAGCCAAAAACCAGCAACAAAAAAAGAAAAAAACGAAAAACGAAAGAGAAACGTGAAATGAAAACCCGAAAGCCGTAAAAAACCCGGACTGTGCTGACTCCGTGAGTGTGTGTGTGTGTGAAATAACGTAATAATTAATTGATCGACAAGTGCGGAGCTGTGATTTTGTATGCGTCCCATCACCTGCCACTGAAATCGATCATGATCATGACGCTGCGGCGGGCCCTTACACCATAACCATTCGAAGGCGGTATTCGCGGCAGAGGCAGAGGCGGTAGCAGAGGCGTCAGCTTGCGACAACAGCGCCGCCGCCAGCATAATTCACCTGCTGCTGTCCGCTCTCCGTTGGCCAAAAGACAGACCGACCGACCAACATCGAGATTTCCCAACGAAGGGAGTGGTGTGGCGTGGTGCTGCAGCCAACGCATTGCAATTTCCCCCGTCCCCCATCCCCTCGTCCGTCCATTAAATGACCAAATCAAGCTTGAACCCAGGGAGCCATCCCATTCCAGCGAAGAAATTTATATTAATTCGTAATCTCTGTCTCAGCGTTGCCGCAAGCTCAACTTGAAACGCCAACAGAGACGCCAACGGAGACGTTGACGTTGAGCGTCGCCGCCGACCGAGCAGCAGCCGCTGACGGCGGCCTTAGTCCGTCGGTCGCCGTGGCAGCCAGTTAGTCTTGCTCTGCTAGTCACCGCTGACGGTTCGCCAGTCTCTTCCGCTCCGCTCGCGCAGATCCGCCTCGATCCGAACTATTCCCGCCTCGCGGTTACACGTCGCGAATCGCAAGAAACTAAAGAAAAGCATCGGTTTCGTGCAGGATACAACAAAACAGTGTTGAAGTGCCAATGAGCCGCTTGTGTTACCAGGCAGCAGTGAGCTGCAACAGTTACCACTGCCTCACATACTGACCAAGTAGTTAGTTTTAGTTACCAACACATTCTGGCCAAAAAACCCAAAGCCATATAGGAAATTAGCCATTGCAGGTGCACAGCTTAAAAGGTAAACGAGATTGAGGTAACACTGTAAAAGGCCACCCTAGTCGCATTCCCCCCTTTTGGGGGAGTAGACTTAACCTTCAACATTGTGGGATCTGTACTGACCATTTTGGGGATACATCTGCTAGATCCTTTGGTGATCCTTAAGGATCTATAAGATCTTAGTATCTTAGACTCCGACTCACTTTTGACCCAAAGAAATCGTCTCTCATTTGCTTAGCATTTTTTTTAACAATTAATTATGAATTAATTAGATGCAAATCCGAGTTTCTTTGCGTGAAAGTGATTGAACTTTTTATTGGAATTCAAATTATTGTTTGTAGGCAAACGAACACCTGCATACAAATGAGATTTGCCTAATTTACCAAAAACCGAGATTCATTGAAGCTTCATCATTGCATTGATGCATTGCCAATTTGGGGGAACTCTATGCTTGGTAAAGAGCCAATCAAAATCTCAAAGCTATCAAAAGTTTGGTAAACAAATGTCAAAGTTGGCAACGGCTGTGGCAACCATCACTTGACCAGCACCTCCGGGCCTCCACTTGGGCAATCATTCGTGCCAAGTCAAGGGTTCCTTGGGCACGCCCATTCCATCGAAAGCGTTGAGCATGTCAACACTTGGCAAGTGACTTGTTCTCTGCCAAGCCACACATTCTACTCGATATGAAAATCAATAGGAAATGGTAGAATTTCAGGATACGGAGACGGAGACGAAGGAGGAGCACGTGACACCTTCTGGTGAGGCGGAGGAACCCATCCAATAACAACAACTATGACAACTGCAAAGACAAACACTACCCCCAAAAAAGCAGAGAAAAAAAGAAAAACAACAGCGCCACGCGCCTTTTCGGCGTCATTCATGGCGTGTTGGGTGAGCATTAAACGCGATACTTTTTTCCCCCATTTTTCTGGGCAACCGTTTTGCTGCCCGGCCGCTTTCTTGGCCCGCTCGGGGGTGCGTCGGGTGAGTCACGCGACACCAGACACCATGCCCCACATCCACACAACCGAGCCGGAGCTCGGCTCTCGTGGCCGCGTTTTTCATTCAAGAAACCCAATGGGCTCCTCTGCGCACGAGCGAAGGGAAAAGCGAGAAAAGGCCGAGCGAAGAGAAACCCTAGGAAGACGCTGGTTGAGTGGACGCTCCTCCAAAGAGTCGGCATCACGTGATGGCCATGGTGTGACTGGGTTTCAGTTTCTCCCCCCTCATATGTTGGGTGGTTGGGTGGCTGTGTGGCAACGTGGCGCCTCCGCTGACGCCGGTTTAGCGGCGTGTTGCTGTCTGGGCAAGCTTTGGGGGTGGGATTGGGTTTGGGTACGGAACTGGGACTGGCACTGGTAGTGGCACTTGGGGGTGTCGCCTTGCAAGCCCATGTGTGCTATGCATTGTTGCTTCATGCTCACTGCAAGTGTGTGGGCTTACAGCAGAAAAACAACGGAATCAGGTCAATGAAATGGCAATATTTGGCCCGGCTTTAAGTCGCTGCTGCTGGCATCGCTTTTCAGCGCCCGCTGTTATGGTAGAGGTAATGGTGGGTGGGCAGCACCCAAGACACTTTACCCCCCACAAACCCCACCAAGACTGCGCTTTAAATCAGGCGAAGGCAAAGCCAAAGCCAAGACCTCACCACCTGCCACCTGCCGCCTGCCTCTGCTCCAAGAGCTCGCCAGCTCGTGCCACTCTGCTGACAGCATTTTCCGCCCCAAGCCGTGTCTTCTTTGCTCTGCCTTGTTTTGACTTTGAATTAGTTGAAATTTAGCTTTTCGGTGGCAGTGGCTTCATTTTCTTTCTTGTCGCTATACCGTTCCCCGTCGTGTTTATTTGGCAAAGGTGTTTGGACTTCTGTTTGTCTTGCTTGTTGCTTGCCAAGCCCATCAACTGGGCAAACATCGACCGGTCGACATTGCCGGACGACTGCCATTGAAATGCGACCTTCGATTGTTCGCTCCATCGTCGGTATATATGGGTATCCTGGTATCCCTGCGGATCCGATTCCCAGGAAAGTGGCGATTAAATTTGATTTATTACCCTCTCTCACATGACTCCGTGGAAAAGCCTTTTCACATCGCTTTTTATTCGTAGAAGCGAACTGGGCGCACCCAGTTGAGATTGAAACAGGACTCGGCTCCTCACAGGCTTCCATTAATTATACTTATATGCGACCAGCATGAACATTAGCTCTGATGCCCTTTCATAATTATCGCCTACACAAGATGCCATCGGTGGGCTTTGTTATTAAACATTTACGATACACTTGTGTGGCGTACCACGGGGCGTATGAGTAATGTAAAGGGGAGCGAGCATCTACCTCCGTAGATGTGTAATCAAAGGTAGCAAAGGCCGAGCAATTAATTGAATTACATCCGTTGCCTTTGGTCCATTCGCATACATAATTATAGTTGACAACTTGGACTCGACTCGGAGGCACTTACTCGCTTTGACTTTGAAATGGAGGTGCTTCCGAAAATAGAGCCAGGGACAGAGGGAATAATAAATGAATAGGGAAAGTGGCATGCCCCAGTGAACCGATACCGATGCCAAGTGCTAAGTGCTCACACTCGCTGGACTATGTTTGTCCTTGAACTTTTTGCCCAGAAATAAATAAAACAGGCACAAAATATTACTCATACGCCGCATACTCCGGCGCTGACGTTCGCTGTTTTGGTGTTTTGTGGTTTTGGTGTTTTAGCCAATTTATCGATTCGCGATAACTGCCAGCACGATAAAAGGGTGCAAATTCCGTGCTTTGCCCACCAAAAACATAAAAAAAGAAACACAAAACAAGAGAAAGACAGAGCTCGAAATGAGAACGTTTCGTTCCGTTTCTAAACAAGATGTAAATGTGCCGATCGAACGCTGACTGAGCAGATTTTGCTTTTGGTTTATTAACCTCATTTTGTCTCAGTCTACGAATGGGCACAACTTATAGGGCCGATAAGGGCACTAGCCCAATGCTCAGACGTCGCCTAGTCAGTGGAAAATAATTGGTAACAATGAGCCACAACAAAAACAAATGCAGCTCTCAGCTAATGGGTATTTTCTGTGTTAATGAAATTATAATTAAACTGAGAGCAGGAGGGCCGCATTGGCTAGGCCTTAATATTTATTTATATCGAAGTACACTCAGCCCTGCAAGTTTTTGAGTATTCGAGTGGCCTACTTTTTCTCACGAACACGAATCACCTCACGTGCCTGGCATTATTATAAAAATGGGTTATTAACATTTGAAAAATTTGTGTTTTAAATTCGCTCTAAGCTTTGCTAATGTGAGAAACAGACGAGACAGGTTCAGGGCGGAGATTCCATTCAAGAAATGGGTCACAAATTATAATGATGGCTCGAGGTTGCTAATCTATATATCTATATCTGTGTTTTTTTTGCAGCTCGATAACCTGAATTAGCGCTGAATTCCCGACACCGGAGCTAACCAGGTCGGACGCATTCCGCGACTCCTGAGGGGCAAGACTTGAACCACCAAATACCAATAATTGTACAATCAGCAACTAGCACTGCATCCTGCAAGGATCGAAGGATTTCACTGTCGCGAACGAACAGCAAACACTACACAGCAACACAATGGCCTTAATTATGAAATACATCGACAGCATAAGCAGATACATTGACTCACATGGTGGTAAGTACGAGTGTGGGTGTGGGTGTGGGTATGAGTATGAGTGCGAGTATGAGTACGAGTATGAATGTGAGTACGAGTACGAGTGCGAGTGCGAGTGCTCTGTGCTCCGTGCTAATTTGCCTAACCTTGATTTCGTTGGGCATTTGACCAGCGCTTCTCTCGCTCAACATTTCTCTCGGCCGAAATGGCAGTGGCTTTGGCCAAAATGGTTAAATAATTTTTAACACCACTTCTCTAATTGGCCAAGAGAGTTGAGAAGCTGGACAAGAGTTCCTCTCTCTCTCTCGGTATCTCTCCCTTTGTGAGGGAAGCTTTCTCTTAAGAACAGCCATCAATTCATTCACGTGCCGAGAACACCGATTTACCGGCTTTCGTCAGTGTATGCTCCGGGCTATCTATGCATATATTTATCCAATTTATTATATATATTCTCCATACCGAAATGTACGGGTGTGTTTGTACCCCTTTGACAAATGTTAGGCAATTTCTAGCTGACTACGAGAAACGTGTTAAAATTATGTTTCAACATAATATATTCGCTCATAGGGCCATGTGTATACATATGTCTATATAAATGTGCTTGCATAAATACATTTCTTTTTTTGGAAGGCGCCCACACACATTTTTCACTCTTATCGACCATAAAACACAAGGGTTATTCAAATTGTTTGCAACTAACGACAATGTACAGAAAATGAGTAGGGGAACCTGTTAAAAAGAGTTATTATAACAGCAATATTAATTTATAACTATAGGTCTATTGGTTTTTGTTTTAATCAAAGAACAATCAAAGTTTATATATATAGGTATTCGATTTTATTAGGTATTCAAATAAGGGAACTGAAATATAAATCTTTGGGTTCCAAAGTCACTAAAAATAAATCATTATCTTTCTCAATTGAAGTACTGTCTGAGCCAAGTTCAAGTGTCTACTGTTTTGGTTTTCCCCCGCAAAACAAGATGTGAATCTTTATAAACAATTTTAAATTATATATACTTATTATTACCCATAAGAAATGATAATGTGGCCTTTTGTTGAGTGTAGGAATTTGAAATTACCCAAACAAACTTTTCGAAATCCATTAAATGTCTAGCACTAGGCGCTGATTCGAATGCGAAATGACGTTAGGGTTTTTGGGTGGCAAGCGCTAAACAATTGGCCCCGGAGTGAGCCCCGATTATGAGTGTGATATGACCATGCCCCCACTCTGTTCGTTATCGCAACACTTTTCCACATGTCCGCCATCCCCGACGAACGTGAGGCGCTACAGGGTCAATGGCAACGTTGCGAATGTGATAAGAGTGCGACTTATCTAACAGATGCTCATGGCTATCTCCTAGATGTGTGTTCTCCCATTAACCAGTTATTCTGATCTCTCTCATCCCCCCTCGCCGCCGTATAGACTCGAGGACAAAGGACTGGCCCATGATGTCGTCCCCGTTCCCCACACTGGCCGTATGCCTCACATACGTCTACCTGGTCAAGGTGAGTTCCGGGGGCTTTCCGTGGTTGTCCCCACCTGGACACAACAGGTGGTGCTCCCAAGTGGAAAATATATGCCACCTGGCACACTCTCACCGCTGATATGCTGATAAGCGGGAGCGGTGTTTTGTGGGCTGACCAGTCCACTTTTGGGCACTGTAACTTACGACACACCTAATCGTCGTGGCGATAAGCGGGCTAATGCCACGGGTGATTGCATAAAACCTGATACCAAACTCTCGTCCACAGGTACTGGGACCTCGATGGATGGAGAACAGGAAGCCGCTGCATCTGCAGAACACACTAGTCATGTACAATGCCATACAGGTTGTATTCAGCGCGTGGCTCTTTTACGAGGTAGGTACTCCCAGTCCACGTCCCCATTCCCATCCCCATCCCCAGCTGCAGCAGGTTCACCCATCATCACTTGGCATCGTCGCTGACATTTGGATAACCGGACTCTCAAAGGAACCAAGGAGTCAAGGAGAATGCTCCTCTGAAAATTAATTAACTTAACCTGCTCGAATTATATTGCAACTAATGTCTCTGTTCTAGTGCTTGATGGGCGGCTGGTGGGGCTCGTACAGCTTCCGGTGCCAGCCGGTGGACTACTCAGATAGTCCCACATCCCGGAGAGTAAGTGTCCCGATAGCAGCCACTGTAGCGTACTACCCATAAGTGTGACCGATATAGACCCCGCCAACTTGAGATCCGATTAAATCAAATCAGATCCGAGCAATATTGGTTAGGCCGCGCACACCCCAATCTAAATCTGCAGCCAAAACACTTCAATCCAACGCTGCTTTTGCTTAATCTAATCCCACCTTATATTGTTATTGATTTGGCCACTGACCTAGCCAACGCTTCATGGATTATTAACAACCAGCCACGCCTTGCCTGTAGTTTGTCCCATATTGTCCTAACTACGTATTGTCCCTAGTATTTTTACTATAAATATATATATATATATAACTCTCGGCGGCCCATGATGTCTCGCCGGATAACTAATCCCAATCGAGTATCCTAACGAACCGAACCCCATCTGCAGGATCCATCTGTCCTGACTGACTCGCTCCGGCTGGCTGGTCCCAGTCCGCAAAAAAAGAGTGTTTTGTTTTGTATATAAACGCGTGACCAGAAACATACACAAGTGCCACTGATACACTGCGGTGATTAATTTCGCTTCGATTAATCATAATTGCGCTTTCTAGCCTAAGTTGATACGATACCATCTAAGTGCTGTATTACTCACACTAACCCCAAACACCGCACTCTGCCAAAACCCTGCACCTGTACATTTAGCCGACAACTGAGCCACGTTTTAAGCCAAGTAATATCGACCTGAGAGCGCCAATCAATCTACGATCCAATCCAAAGACGAAGACGATGCCGATGCGATGCCAATGCCAAAGTCAATGCCAATCATCCTCCGAATCATCCAAAAGAAATCCCAGACTCGTGCAGAGATCTATGTATAAACGTGACACTCTTTGCTCTACATTTGCAGATAGGCATTTCCGGTTGGCTAACTGGACATTATAGCTTCCGATGTCAGCCAGTCGACTATAGTAATAATCCTAGAACGTTAAGGGTATGTGTTAACCGCCGAGCAGTAAGATAACGATACGATAACAGTAGCAATGATAAGCATTCCGGTTACCTTTTATTTCTATTTTTGGTTTGAGTGCATGAAAGTGGGTTTGGGTTCTCCTTCTTCTCTATGCTTAAACACATAATAGATATAACGCACACTGGCCCATGTATATACATATATAGTATATAGTAAAACCATTATGTCACTGCGGTGATATCCGTCTAATTTACAATGTGGTGGGTGGGGTTATGGGCTAACGCGATCATCCCGAAACAGAACTAATGCTAACACGACCCGCCACACACCTCCTGGTTGCTAACCCAGATTGTAGCATGTGTATGCCGTACATAATTGTCAACGTTTCCCTTTTCTCCGTCACTAAACTCGAGAGATTCAGGGCGTCTTCAACTTTGCCTATATTCTAGGATGTAATTCCGATCTATCTGGCCCCTAAGGACCTGGCCAAACCTCTGAACTAAATGTAATCGCCTCCGGTCCGTTTAACCCCCTGAATCCTTTGACACTTTTGGAAGACTATCTATAACCTTACTGAATCTCGAATGCTCTCTCTAAATTTCTTACTATCACTTTCTTTCTACACCCTTTCTTGGAGACTCCTCGAGTCTGCATGTATGTTTGAATGAAGTTTGATTATTATTTAAGATATAAGTGGAGATATGTTGCTGGTAGATCCGGCACCACTGTGGACTCTATTCCATCTCAAAACTCTATTCCAAACTCAAGCTGCACAGCGTCCTACTTAAGTATACAAGATAAAGAATGTGTTTAAAGTTGGGATAGAGCTCGCAGAACAGGCTCCTCAGCCGAACGAAACGAATGTTCGAAATTCGAGTCAGCAGAAATGATTTCCCCTCTAATCCATACACATCTTTCGTCCTGCGAATCCCAGATGGTTCATGCCTGCTGGTGGTACTACTTCTCCAAGTTCACCGAGTTCATGGATACGGTAAGTGACAAACAGATAGAAGGCGAAGCCGAATATTGCATTCATAAATCAACCCATTCCATTGTGCCTCCTTCGACACAGATTTTCTTCGTGCTGCGCAAGAAGACCAGCCAGGTTACCACGCTGCACGTCATCCATCACGGCTGCATGCCCATGTCCGTCTGGTTCGGCGTCAAGTTCACCCCGGGTAAGTGTTTCCCCCATATAACGGAGGGAGTGCATCCCCTAACAATTCCCGATTCCCCGATCTTGTCCAGGTGGCCACAGCACCTTCTTCGGCCTGCTCAACACATTCGTTCACATCGTGATGTACACCTACTACATGTTCTCGGCCATGGGCCCCCAGTACCAGAAGTACCTCTGGTGGAAGAAGTACCTGACCACCCTGCAGATGGTAAGCTGTTCTGCGTAGTCCCTGGTTTCTGTTACTAATCCCTTGTTACCTTCTCCCACAGGTCCAGTTCATCCTGATCATGGTGCACGCCTTCCAGCTGCTCTTCATTGACTGCAACTATCCCAAGGCATTCGTCTGGTGGATCGGCATGCATGCCGTCATGTTCTTCTTCCTGTTCAACGAATTCTACAAGGCAGCCTACAGGAGCCGCATGATGGTAAGTGGAGAATTGGGATACCTGGTGGGTACGGAAGTGGCCCTAATGGCGTATTTATTGCTGGCCAGTTAGAGGCGGGTTATTATCAAATTGAAATCTTTGGGATCTGGAAGCTACGATCTCAGATGCGATATGTGCGGTCCCAGATTGCAGCACGCTTCCCACGTTGCCCGGGGCAAGCTTTTTGGGCGCAATTAAGGCGACGTGCCGCGTTCCAGATTCCGGTCTGTGTTAATGAAAAGGAAAACGACTACGAATACGTATACGTATACGTATGCGAGTGAGGCAAACGCGATTATATCATCATCATCATCATCTTCATCGCCATCGCCTGCACTGCACCTTGCGAGATGCTGTGCTGTGGTCCAAATTCATTAACAATATTTCGTCAAGTAGGTCTCTGGGAATTCGGGTGTTGGGAGGCGAGAGCCGGTTAACGATCGCTTTTCGGCGCCCAGCATCCGCAGCCCGTCGCTCGCGTCGCACAAGTGAAAGTTAAACGGAAAGACAATAACAACGGCGGCGGCTTCAAAATCGAAAAAAATAAGAAAAGAAAAGAAACAAAGCCAACACATACTGGTCCATGACCACGGATACGGATACAGATACAGATACATATACAGATACAGATACAGATACGTGAAGAGACGCAGATAAGTCGCGCAGCATTGCGTAATGATCGCACTAGGTCACCTGGAGACCAGATAACACACACGATTGAGGGGCTCTAGGTGCAAATGTGCAGGGCGAAAGAGAAGCTAGCTAAAAGATCCTTTCTGGATACAGAAATTTTGGAAATGAAGATGTGTAAATAACTAAATAAATAATAATTTAATCTGTGATTTTAATGGAAAATAAAATCAGTTCATTCATCTTTTACTACTTAAGGAAATAAACAAGATGTATTAGGATACCAATATTTCTTGAACTTCTGTATCTGTATTCTAGATATATTAAATCCATATGTTTATATGCTAATAATGTTTATATGCTAATTTTTTGAGTAAATCAAAGTTTTCCATACGTCATAACTAAGCCAAAAATGCATTGATTTCAATTTGGAAATCTGTTCTATGCTAATTTTTAATAGATTAACAAATCTGCATACTAAGTTTTTAAATTTAATAATTTCAATATTTGTCAAATTTTGGCAATTTTAATCAAATTTTCAATTTTCGAAAAAATTTCAAAAATTTATTTTTCGACCGAACATGGCTAGAACGACTGGGCTGTTGATGCTGATCAAGAAAATATAGGATTTATGGGGTCGGAAATGACTACTTCACTGCTTTTCATGCTTCTAACTGAAATTATAATACCCTGCAAGGGTATAATAGACATAGTCAAAATTTAATCACTCCTGGATATCCAAAAAAATATATTTAGATTTATTCCATAACTCAAGTGACTCCTTTATTAAAAACAGCTTATGCCTAAGTAAGAAGTAACATTGAAATCATTCCTCTTTCTCTACCTTTTCCAGAAAAAGAACGGAGCACTTGCGGCGGCCAACGGACATGCTAAGCCCAACGGCTACTGCAAGAGCATCAATGCCCACGATGACTTGGCCATGCCGCAGACAACGGAGGCCACTGCATCCGCGACGCCCGTGTCGAAGGCCAACGGAAGCACGCTGACCAATGGTCATGCGAATGGAACGGCCAATGGCTACAAGCAGCTGGCCAACGGCAATGCGGCGACGATGGCGACAACTGCCAATGGCAGTGCGCACAAGGGCTCGAACGGCGGACTCCTGGCGAACGGATACGCCACCAAGCTGCTGGACGATGCCTCGCATGAGCTGAAGCAGCGGAAGACGCCGAAATAATATCGGGGCAAAGCGGGGCGGCGCCAGCACAGAGCTTAGGACAGCAGGAAGGCAGCGCCAGGAGCCTTCTGGGAGAGACCGGAGCTCCAAGAGTCATTTCCACAGGCATACACCACCACCACCACCACTACCACCAGCACACACACCCACTTCACTTGAACCATTCACCACTCTCCACATCGCAGACCATCCATCACACCAAATTCCATGCAAGGACAAACGCGTCAGTGGGCTGGGAGCAGCGGAGCAGCGGAGGAGGGCAGGATTCGGGCTGCCGAGATCCAAATGCGAAGGCAAGACCACTGACCGAATCCATTCACGCGGACATACAGATATATGCTAATAGTATGCTGACCTGCATACCTATTGCTGCATATGGAAATGTATAGGCATTGCGAATGCACATGCGCCCATTCATCGCTTACGTACTATATATTAAATATGTTTTGTTGCTTCTTTTTTTCTTTAAACTACTTTAGTTGTACAAAGCTTACCTATTCTAAGTGCCCCGAGCGGATTGTATAAACAGAAAAAAAAAAACAGAAAGAACCTAAACCGGCATGAGCAAGAAACAGAATTCAACTAAATGGAAACATGAACGGAAGCCCAGCATAAACAGATTTAACAACTAAAGCTAATGTTGCTTACACTCGGTTTGTGTGTGAGCATGGAATTCAACTATTTAAGTCTAGAGTTTAATTTATACATACATATATTCTTAAAATATATATGCAGAAGCCGGCAAGTTTTGTAAATGTATAGCAAAAGCAAATGTAATTTAAAATTAGGCACAATAATTGTTAACAAAAAAACAAAAACAAAATAAAAGTCAAGCAAAAATAGTCAAGAGCTATTTTACGTTAAACAGAAACAAAAGAAAAACCGAAAACCACAAGCGAAAGTATTCGACAAATTTTGTGCATCGTTTCAAACTATACAAAGATAAACAAGAATTCACAGGCTATCAAAATACCCATATAATGTTTCATTAATTTATTATAAATAAATTATGCCGCTAAACTAAAACCGAGAAGAAGGCTCGAGATGGATGAGTTCATCTCTAGCTTAATATTAAAAAACGGTGCAAAACCCCAAAAACAAAACAACACAAACAAAAAAAAAAAACAAATCCAAGCATCCACACAACATGAATATTAATTGAAACAAATACAAAAATACAAATAGGCGTAAACGTAAGATCGATCCACTTGAAACCGAGCATTAAAATCAGCAAATTGTTGGAATCAAAAAACAAAATAGACTGTAAGTCCCCACACTCTAGGTTCTATAGGTATGCAATTGCAATACGTTTTGTATGCGTAATAGCCATTTTTGTGGAGCAGCATGTAAACATTACCTATGTAATTATTATTATACAAATACAAAACAAAACAAAAAAATAAATAAAAAACAAAATCATGTGTAGAAAATTAGGTGAAAATGGAGTGGAGCATTTTTTCAATAAAAACACTAAACAAATTTCGTTGAACCATTGATTTATTAGGGGTTTTCAAATCATAGCATCGTTGGGAATAAAATATAATGAAATAAACACTAAACAGGAAGACCAAGTTGAAATAATTAATAAAAAATTTAATTGAAAGTAATAAAATTCCCATATTTTTCAAATATATATTTTTATTAATTTTTAGTGAGTATTTCCTGATTTTCTAATGGCATACAAAACGCAAATGCAACGTGATTGAAAAGTCATTAATATTTAGATTCTCCATTAAAATCGCAATAAATAAATAATAAATATGCATTTTTATGCCCATATAAATTAATCAATAAATCGGTTTAAATAATGCGAATATTTCTGGCCTTCTTGGAGGCATAATATAGTCAAAAAGCAAGTAATTCCAAAAATTCATACATTTTCCGATTCGCCAGAGAAATCTTAATTAATTAATAATAAAATGTTGAGAAAAAAAATTTTAAAATTTTTGTCAATTTTTCAAAATTTTAAAAGGGGTGACATCATTAAAATTGTCAAAAATCGAATTTTTAAAATCCTAAATCCGTATGCAGATTTATAAAGAGAGAAACTAACACAGAAATGCTTTCCAAATTGAAATTATTGCTTTTTTGACTTAGTTATGGGTTTTTTAAAATAATGATTTGTCCACAAATTTATAATAAAAGCGTAATACTTTTAGTGTTTCACTAATTGTAAAATAATCAGTATTTCTTTTGGTACATCAAAAGAATATAGTCGAATCCCATCCCACCGCATTTAAAACATTTATATGCTTTCAATATCGTTTTATTAACATTAATGTTTATGTTTAATTTGGATGTTAGATTTTACACGTGTGCCGTCCGCCGCATTCGCCGAGGTGACGAACGCCTGGACGGGGATATAGTATAATTAGAACTTAGAGCTAGACTTGTCTGCTACGAGCTAGGCATTAAGCTGTCCATAAAGGGTAGGCAGAAATAAAAGATAAAACATAGATGTAAATCTTAGTGGTATGCGATTGTACGATTCAATGTGACAAGTACAACAAATTCACAAAAATCTTTAAAGCAATATGTAAACTATACAGAGAAGTGTTTAATATGGCTTCGAAACTTGACAACGATAGAATCGGGGTTGCCGTTGTAAGTCAGCGGGTTTGGTGAAGAGTAGATGAGTGAGTGAGTGCCCAGGATGCACCACTGCTGCTAGCGTGATTGCGTGGGAGTGAGTAAAAACCAAGCAGCCGGCGGCGGCGCATGGGCTGGATTATAACTGTATATTAGAGATTTTAAAAACACTTAGTACTAGGCCAAGTGGGAGCTCAGTTGCGTCGTGTTCGCCGACGCGCGTTTCCCGCAAAGGCGTTCGGAGGAGCACCTGGATGCTGCCGGCTATACAAATTGTCCAAGAACTCGTGCAACGTAGCCTCGCTGAGAGCGGAGAGTATATTATGAATGAAAAACCAAGTCACGGTTTGTATTATATTTCAATGCTCACCTAACCCCACTGACTCCTCCGCCAGGATAGTGGACACCTCCCCGGTCGTGATGTGGTTGCTGTGGCTGCTGGTGATGTTGCTGCTGCTGTTGTTGTTGTTGCTGCTGCTGCTGTTGCTGGGCACCACGCACTATGCGATATTGAACCATATGAGAGTTTGGTTCCAAATGCGACAGAGCTCCCTTTTGGCAGTTAGCCCACTCGGTGATGTCATAAACCTTTCCGTCCATTAGAGCCAAATACTTCCACCGCAATCCCATCATGCTGGTCTCAGCCCAAATATCGCCCTGCCATGAGAGAAACGAAAGCTGTACTTACTTCTTCCTTTAAGAGCTACCTGGGTACTTACATCCTTGGCCGAATGGCGTATCTTGCAAGAGGCGCATTCCCGCGCCGCATAATGAGGACGTTCGGTTAGCTTGCGAGGATGTCGCTGCGCACAAGTGCTACATCTGTTTGTGGACATAAAATATAGGACTTAGTGCTTCCCCTTGGGTAAACGGCTGCTAGCCTATGCGTACCTTATAGTATTGGCTGCCTCAGCCATTTTGGTTTGCAGTTGGGAGAGCAGGTCATGCAGCTCCGTCCAGGCCTTCTCAGCGTGCAAAGTCTCGGCGATGCTTTGGTCATAGATGAGGCGATTTTCCTATTAAAATCATAACACTTCGGTAGGACACAAACAAGATGATCTATCAGTCACATCCTTACCGGCTCTCCGATCAACTCAAAGGCCCGCTGCAGAACCTTGAAAGCTTCCTCGGCCCCAGCCTGTTTGTTTTTGTCGGGATGTACGAGCACAGCTATCTTCTTGTAATGCTTACGTATCTGCTCCTGCGAGCTATCCGGTGGGACTCCAAGAATGCTATAGCGAAGACAGGAAAGCAATATATTAATCATCGATTTGTAATTACCCTTGCATAATTGCTCTCACCTGTAAGCATCCTTGCCCTTACAATTTAGCAGCGAATACATTGCCTCTTCGCCAGTCTGTGGCAGGCGACCAGTTTTGAAAGACTCTGATGTGGGTTCGGGAGGTTTTCGATTGTAGAAGCGCCGCCAAACAGCCCAGCGCGAGTTCTTGGCAAATCGGGCATCGAAGCGTCGCCAGTAGCTCCGCCACCAGATGCTAGGCTTGCCTGAGTTCTGCTTCAGTTCCCGGTGCAGCTGTCGCGCATAGGCCAGCCCGGCCACATAGGCCAGTGTTAGACGCTCGCACGCCATGCTGAAGCCGAGAACAACGATATCGTAGACCAAATAAAACAGCCATGTCAAGAGTTTCAGGGTATAGATCCACCAGGTGTGCAGAATGCGCTTGGCCAGCTCGTAGTTTCGATTACTGGCAAAGCTGCTAGAATGCGTGGGTGAGTTGGACGAAGAGTATGCATTGCTGCGGTTGCGTTTCGAGGAGTAGGAGTAGCCGGAACTGTTATTCGAGTTAAGGTTCACATTCGAGGAGGAATACCGCTTGGACGAAGAGGAACTAACGTTGTTGTTGTTGCTGGAGTTACTGTTGGAATTGACGCCGGTCGAATTCGAGTGATTTGCATTGAAGTTGCTCTTATTGCCGCTTGGCTTACGTGATGAGGTGCTGGAATTGTTAGCCGCAGTTGTACTCCCACTTCCGTTGCTGTGATTCTGCACGCCACTGTTGGACGTTCCCGATGCGGATGGGGCCTTTTGCTCAGAAGCCTTTAGGTTGTTGGTGATGGTACTGTTGCTAGTTTTCGGCTGCAAAACTCGCTTCTTCTCCGGATTGCTCGGCTTACTGGCTTTAATCTGCGCCTGCAGTGTTGTCTGCTGCTGTAGTGGCTGGGGCTGAGGCTGCTGTTGCTTTGGCGCCGCCACCTGGTTGGACTGACCTCGCTTCTTCCCCCGACCGCCGTGCGCATGACCAATGCTGGCAGCCACCGAGGCCGTTTCCTTGGCATCGTGCATCGGAGAGCGTTTCGCCGAACGCATCTCACGGTTCGCATTGCCATCTTCCTTGCCCTGACGCCTCTGTGGTTGGCTGATGTAGTCTACTCCGTTGCCAGGGCGCATCTCTCCGCCAGCACCGCTACTTGCCTTCGTCCCTTTGCTGAGTACATCGGAGTAAGACATGGGCATAGGCTTAACCTCTGCCACAATGCGCTTCTTGCCCTCGGGTTGGCCGGGCACTGCGACGGATGACTTGTTGATGGCAGTTGGCGAGACGCTGGCAGTGGCCAAGGGCAGTTTTAGTGGCTTCGACGGTTTTGTTGGTACTGGCAACGGACTGACGGTCTGAGTTAGTGTCTCCGGTGGCTGCTGTTGCAGAACCTGCAATCCTGACTGCTGTGTCGACAGAGGTTGCTGGGCTGCCGGGGTCTCAGCCTGGCTGACGGTGTTCTCCTGGGCCTCGTCCCCAAACTGTATATAGCTTCCGCCTGTCAAATTGGGCGACCAGTTGTTTACCAGATTGTTAATGAGCAGATTGGCACTGCTCGGCGATTGAAGGACTTGTGTAGCAGCCTGTGTTTGGGTTTGCTGGGTTTGGGCCGGCGGCTGTGTCTGCGGCTGGGGCTGTGGCACAGGCTGACTAACACTGACAACATTCACCTCCGGTTTCGGCAGCAGAGGATTGGCGGCAAACAACTCGTACAGCGGTGTCGGCTGCGTTGGCGTCGGTGGTTGGACCTGGTGATGATGCGACTGTGTCGGCTGCTGTTGCTGTGGCTGATGGTGGTGGTTCAGCGAAGCCATGTTGATATGCGTGAACAGCGGAGCGCTGGCCTCGCTGACTTGATTCTCCGGGCAGTGATAGACCTTCAGGAAGTTCCCATGGCCCACGGGCAGCACTGAGTAGGTCTCGGGCTGGGCAGCCTGTCCCGGGTACGCCAGATTATACAAGTACTCGTTGTACATGTGTGGCTGCGCCTGTTGCGGCTGAAGGTGGGGCGGAAACTGGGGGGCAGCCAAGTGGGGCGGCGGTGCTGACCACATCATGGGCGCGGGCGCCTGCCCATGCTGCTGCTGCTGCTGGTGGAGCAGGAAGTTCTGGTTTTGGTGTTGCTGTTGCTGCTGTTGGTGGGCCAAGAAGTGGGCCATCTCTTCGCTGTGGGCTAGGACGCGATAGGGGGTGCGATCCGCACCTCCACTGCCATTGCTCCCGCCACCGATCTCATCGCCGCGCTCATCCTGACGTGTCGCCATGTCCCACGACGCGGACGCAGAAGCGTGCTCTCGGGCTTCTGCTTTTTTCACGCACTCGCTCCGCGCTCTCCTATTGGAATTTCATGCGTCCCTCATGTGTCCCCCGCCTTACGCGACTCCCACGGCCTGTTGCAATCCCAGAAAGCTGCGGCGTGTGAGTGGTCATCAAAGAATTCGTGCCCGGTGGTTGCTTGCCACTCCTGGTCTGTCTTTTTCGCGAAACTCCGAAATAATCCGCGCTGCGTGCGTGTGTGAATATATTTTTTATTGCAAACGTCAAATGTGGCAAGAAGAAGAGGCCAGTTGCCATTACCATCAGAATTGCGAACACTCGTGACTGTCAGTTGCGAATCGCAATCGTAAACAAAAAATCGAAAGTAAATATCACTTTTGTAGGAGGAGAACTTTGTTGCGTTTTAAATTCGGCATAACTAGGACTTAAAGAAGTACAAATATTTAACTATTATTACGCCTAATTTCCAATACGAACTTTCCGTTGCAACAGGTCTGTTTGTACGATCTATCGATAATTCAATAAGAACTACCGTTGCTGCAGCCCTGGTTAATGTGGAAAATAAAATTTAAACCAGCAACTAAATGATTTATAAACGACTAAAACATGTCTTTAAGCCGACCATTGGTCACGGTGGTGCGGGCCGGACGCCATAGCTACGCGGCAGGACTTCAGTTGCAACAGCACCTAGCGAAGTCATCCCAAAAACTGGATGTTCCTGCGGAGTTTCGTAATTACCTCGTGCTGCAGGAGCATGATCCCGTCTACACGATCGGAGTGCGAACCAAGGACTACACGGTGGCGGACGAAGAGCGCCTACGCAAGTTGGGAGCCGATTTTCACCGCACGGATCGCGGTGGCCTTATCACATTTCACGGACCCGGCCAGTTGGTGGCGTATCCCATCCTTCACTTACGACAGTTTCAAGGCGGTATGCGCTGGTATGTGGCCACGCTGGAGCGCATGGTGATCGAGACCTGTCGACAGCTGGGCATTCCGAACGCCACCACCACCAAGGACACGGGTATTTGGGTAGGAGACCGGAAGATATGTGCCATCGGCGTCCACGGCTCACGTTACGTCACCAGTCACGGCGTCGGCCTGAACTGCTGCACGGATATGACCTGGTTCGAGCACATTGTGCCGTGCGGCATTGAAGGCAAGGGTGTGACCTCGCTCAGCGAAGAGCTCGGCAGGCAGGTCTCTATTCAGGAAGCCAGTACAGCTTTTCTTAGCAGCTTCGCCAAAGTTTTCGAGTGCCGGCTTAAGGAACAAGCTGAGGCAATAATGCAAGGTTCAAACTGACAATGTTTTGTATTTCAAATTAACAATTAAATAAGTTTTAGATAAATTTATTAGTCATGCCAAGCCTGTGAATCGCGCCTTGTTTAACTCGCACTTCTGAGATCGGCCGTCTATAGGTAGTTTTCCACGCAGTTCCATCTCCAGAAGACCTTGCTGCCGCTGCTCTGCCTTCCGCATACGACGCTCCTTCCTCGATTCCAGGGCGCTATTGAAGTAGCGTTCCCGGAAGTCTTCCGAAGGTGTGGGCACTTGGATTGATCCAGTTGTCGCCAGATTCTGCGTGCTGTACTCTGAGCCCTTTTCGTATGTGAGCAGCCGGCGGGACGTGTTGCCTGTCAAAGGCTGCTCTGAGTTTGCCACCAATTGCAGATTCTGGTGCCGCGGCAGCATCTTTGGGTCGTAATCCTCTCGATGAAACGGAAGCCAGCAGACAAGACGCCCTCCCAATTTTAAATGTCTGGCAGCAAACTCCAGCAGGTCACCATAGAGACTCTGCAGCGAATAGTGTGACGTGGAGGGATAGTGGACCATTTCGTCTGTTCGGGCGATATCCTTAGGACTCCTTTTCGTTTCCACCTTTTCCGTTGCCTCTCGTATTCCGTATGGAGCTAAAAAAAACAACAAAATCTGTTTTAGATAAGTTTGAATAGACTATTGTCGTCTACCTACGATCGGTAATGATGCTGTCGAACGAGATCCGAGAATGCCACAAGGGATTGGAGAAGTCTGCCACAACCACGTCCATGTAGCGGTCAGCGCATCCGTACTGTAGGAGGTTTGCACGAATGCTTTCGTCCTTCTCACGGACCTTCTGGGTAATGCGGCTGGGACGGCAGCGAGCATGCACCATCATGTAGTCGATATCGGCTCCCAGGACGTAACCGCCCCACTTGGCGGCGCTGACTAGCAGAGATCCTGTTCCTACGAAGGGATCAAACACGAGATCACCTTCTCGCACCATCGCTTGGTTTGCCATTAGCAGACTTAGCTGTGCATCCATGCTCGTGTTTCCGATGAACTTTCGCTGCTTCAGGGAGAGCTCCTTTATTAAATGTCGCTGTCCGGTTGCCAGGAGGCGACCAAACAAAATGTCATCGGGCTGCTCCGGGACTGCAGTGGGATCCAAGCCCCAGAACTCGATGTACCACCACTCCACCTGAGGATTTTTTAGGTCGACCGAGCCCTCGATTGGCAGGTAATCCATTGTCTCGATCTTATCGATCTTCTCCCGTTGACTAAAGTGTTTGTTGTAGGTCTCCACGGTGATCTTGAAGCTGGTGTCCGGACGGAAGTACTCTGCCAGCTCGCTCTGGTTTGTATCAACGTGAGAACGGAGGCGCTCGTGGAACTCGGGAAGCTTTCTAGAGTGGGCGTACAGCTCGAACATGGCGCGTAGGGCGATGGATCGGGATGCATACTTCATTGCAGTCTCCTCATTTGGGAATTCCACCAGCCAGAAGGGTTTCTGCGAAGTTGGAGATGGTTAGCTGCACAGATATACTTAGTTTCGTGGTACTTACCAAGGTCTGTTCGGTAAGCCGTCGAAACTGAAGGCCAAACATCTTAACGATGGACTCGAACTCTGAAATTCGAAAGTCAACGTGCTCCTGGGCGAACCACAGGATATACTTTCTCCACAAATTTGCCATGCTGTGGCCTTAAAATGAGCGTTCCTTCGTTATGATTCAAAGCGGCTGGAAGTTAAGCTTGCGGTCAGAATTATTAGCCTTTTAATTGATGTTAAATTTAGTGATTTGATTTACAATAGCTTATTCTGTTTCTTAAGTTCTTAGATTGCATCGTGGATTTGTTCTTAATTTGTATCGATATATCGATAAGTTATATATTTATATTTAAATTGAAAACAAAAATAACTCATAAGTTGTTTTTGTTACTTCTAGTTTATAAACTATATCTTTGTAGTTCCATTTTGTAAATTGAGCATTTGAGTTTAAAGATATATTCCTCAGATGTAGTCGAATTTATAAGTATATCAATATATGTTGAAGACATTTTTAAAATTTTTGGAATTCACTCTATAACCAATTTAATATACTATATATTATTCATTGTATATATATATTATTAATTATAAAAACACCTCGAAAAATATAAGATATTTTCGTATCGAAGCCTCGATGGTTTTGCCACAATAAATCGATATATCGATAGATCGATGTCTTGGCAACTCTGCCGTCCACTCGGCCATTTTGAATAAATATCGTAGGCACACGTAGGCGAGCCGAAGATTTTTTATAATTTTCCGCTGCTGCAGGCCTCAAAAGCGCCCAGAGCTAGTAACAAAATCTACCTAAAGTGCCGGTGCATAGCAATCCAAACAATCGAAGATGGCCCGTTACACGCAACGTCCGGAAAATGCTCTGAAGAGGGCCAATGGTGAGTGTGCTAAAAATTTTCCATGCGGTTGCCGAAGAGAGCGCCAGCGGCTATTCCGCTTCGCTCTCTTACTCGGCCGCTGAATGATGCTTAGACTCTGACCGCGACTCTCTTCCGTTCGCAGAATTCATCGAGGTGGGAAAGCCCCTGCGAGCGCTGGACACCCTCCAGGAGGTGTTCCGCAACAAGCGCTGGAACTATGCCTACTCGGAGTCGGTTATTGAGCCGCTCATGTTCAAGTATCTGGAGCTGTGCGTGGAGCTCAAGAAGTCCCACATCGCCAAGGAGGGCCTGTTCCAGTACCGCAACATGTTCCAGCTGGTGAACGTAAACTCGCTAGAGAACGTGATTCGCGGCTACCTTAAGATGGCCGAGGCGCACACCGAAGCCGCTCAGGCGCAGTCCTCCGCGGCTGTGGCCGTGCTGGAGCTGGATGACTTGGACAACATCGCTACGCCCGAGAGTATTCTGATGAGCGCCGTGTGCGGCGAGGACGCCCAGGACCGCTCCGACCGCACCATCCTGCTGCCGTGGGTAAAGTTCCTGTGGGAGTCGTACTGTCAGTGCCTGGAGCTGCTGCGCGTGAACACGCACTGCGAGGCCTTGTATCACGATATCGCCCGCATGGCCTTCCAGTTTTGCCTGAAGTATAACCGAAAGAGCGAGTTTCGGCGGCTATGCGACAAGCTGCGCAAGCACTTGGAGGACATCTGCAAGAGCAGCAACCAAACCACCGGCGTGTCGATCAACAAGGTGGAGACGCAGCAGCTGTGCCTGGACACCAGGTTGTATCTGCTCGACTCGGCCATTCAGATGGAGCTGTGGCAGGAGGCCTACAAGGCGATCGAGGACATCCACGGTCTGATGGCACTTTCCAAGAAGACACCCGTGCCCAAGACAATGGCCAACTACTACCAGAAGCTAGCGATGGTCTTCAGCAAGGCGGGCAATCAGCTCTTCCATGCTGCAGCCCTGCTGAAGCTTTTCCAACTGACGCGCGAGCTGAAGAAGAACCTGACCAAGGAGGATCTGCAGCGCATGGCTGCCCACGTTCTCCTGGCCACCCTGTCTATTCCTCTGCCGTCGGCCCACCCGGAGTTCGACAGGTTCATCGAGGCGGACAAGAGCCCGCTGGAGAAGGCTCAGAAGCTGGCCGTGCTTCTCGGTCTGCCCCAGCCACCCACTCGAGTGTCCCTCATTCGCGAAGTGGTAAGTAGCATACTCGAATAACACGAACCCAACCTAACTAATCGATTCTATTTTTACAGGTGCGTTTGAACGTGCCGCAACTAGTTTCAGAGGACTTCCGCAACCTGTACAACTGGCTGGAAGTTGACTTTAACCCTCTGAACCTGTGCAAGCGCATTCAGTCTATTGTGGACATAATCGAGAGCGGAACGCCCGAGAACAATCTGCTGACCGCCTACATTCAGTCGCTAAAGGACGTGACCATCATGCGTCTGATTCGCCAGATCTCTCAGGTGTACGAGAGCATTGAGTTCAAGCGCCTGCTAGAGCTGGCTAGCTTCTGCAATATCTTCGAGCTGGAGAAGCTGCTGGTTGAATCCGTACGCCACAACGACATGCAGATCCGCATCGATCACCAGAAGAACAGCATCTACTTCGGCACCGATCTGACCGAGAGCCAGCGTGAGTACCGGCCCGATGGACCAGCACTGCAGTCTATGCCCTCCGAGCAAATCCGTTCCCAGCTTGTCAACATGTCCACCGTGCTGACTCGTGCCGTCTCCATCGTTTACCCTAACCGGGAGCGTGACCAGCGCGCCAAGCTGCGTACCCAGATGGTGCACCACTATCACGAGATCAAAGACCGTGAGCACCAGCGCATCCTGCAGAGGCAGAAGATCATCGAGGACCGCAAGGAGTACATTGAAAAGCAAAACAATGCGCGCGAAGAGGAGGAGGCCCGTCGGCAAGAGGAAGAGTCCCGCAAGGCCAAGCTGGCTGAGCAGAAGCGTCTTGAAAAGGAACAGGAGGAGCGGGAACTCAAGCGTCACCAGAACGAGATTCAAGCCATTCGCGAGAAGAGTCTCAAGGAGAAGGTTCAGCAAATCTCGCAAACCGCCCATGGCAAAAAGATGCTCTCCAAGCTGGACGAGGAAGGCATCAAGAAATTGGATGCCGAGCAGATCGCAAAGCGTGAAAGTGAAGAGCTGCAGCGCGAGGCTAAGGAACTGCAGTCTAAGCTTAAGTCCCAGGAGAAGAAGGTTGATTACTTCGAGCGTGCCAAGCGCCTGGAGGAGATTCCGTTGTTCGAGAAGTACTTGGCTGAAAAGCAGGTTAAGGACAAGGAGTTCTGGGAGGCCACCGAGAAGACACGCATCGAAAATGCTATCGCTGAACGCAAGGACGCCGTTAGCCAGCAGGAGCGTCTCAAGCGCATGTACCCCGATCGGGATGAATACCTCGAGGCTCTCAAGAAGGAGCGTGCCTCCCTTTACGTCGAGAAGCTCAAAAAGTTCGAGATTGCCCTGGAAGCGGAGCGCAAGAAGCGTCTGGCCGAACGCGTTATTCGTCGCCGCGAGGAACGTCGTCAAGCCTTCCTTCGTGAAAAGGAGGAGGAGCGTCTCCGCAAGGAGGAGGAAATTCGCTTGGCGCAGGCAGCCGAGGAACGTGCGGCAGCGGAGGCCCGCCGTCTGGAGCGTGAGGCCGAGGACGAGAAGCGTCGCGCCCAGTACGAGAAGCAACGTGCCAAGGAAGAGGAGGCAGAGCGCAAGATCAAAGAGGACCGTGACCGTCTTGCCCGAGAGGTTGCCGTGGAACGTGAGCGCAGCGAGAAGGAGCGTGACACCTGGCGTCCGCGTGGTGGGGACCGGCCCAACGCCCCTGCCGGTGGAGCCGGAGAGTGGCGACGTGCTGCACCCGCACCCAGTGATCGCAACGAACGTGGAGGAGAACGCACAGAGCGCGGAGGTGATCGTATTGAACGTGGAGGAGAACGCACCGAGCGCGGAGGTGACCGTATGGAGCGTGGAGGAGAGCGCGGTGAGCGTGGAGGAGAACGCATGGATCGTGGAGGAGACCGAGACCGCAAGGACAACGATGGAGCGGACTCCTCGTGGCGTGTGCGACGAGAGCCCGACTCCCAGCGTTCTGCTGCACCCAAGGACACCAGCGGTGCACCTCAGTCACGGGATGACAAGTGGCGTCGTGGTGGAGACCGAGACCGTGAACGTGATCGTGACTTCCGCAACGACGGCCCACGCCGGGACCGTGATGATGACCGTGACCGCGGTGGCTTCCGTCGCAACGACGGTCCCCGTCGCACCGATGAGCCACGTGGAGAAACCGGTGGTAACTGGCGCGACGCTCCGCGTCAAAGTGATCGGGACAACCGTCGTCCTGCTGGCGACAGGCGTGATGCTGGACGTGATGCCGGGCGAGATGCTGGCCGTGATGGACGCGAAGTACGCGGTGATTTGCGCGGACCTGCCCCCAAGGAAGCCGGCAGTGGTGGCGGTGGCGGTGGCGGAAACTGGCGTACTGCTCCGGGACCTCGCGATGAAAAGCCTGCCCCCAAGCGAGACCAGCCTCAAGACAAGGGTGAGTAGTCTCAACGTGGCATTCAAGAGATGTTTTTTTATAACAAGTTTAATATCTTTCAGAAAACAAAGCCGCCGATGATGGCGAATGGACCAGCGTCAAGCGTCGTTAAAGTGTTCACCCATGTTCTGGCGTCCTAATACGTAGTTGTCCTGCATTTTCCGTATATACACAACATATTAATCTTAATACGTTTTCATTTTATGCGACTTGTACTTTATTGGAATAGAGTCAAGTTTGGCTCCGTATATCACATCTACCCAATGCTTGTGCCAGAGTTGGTCGGCGGTCAGTCCGCTGCTCATTAAAGTACTTTCGAATAAAATAACCATGTTCTAAATAATAAAAAGAGTAGCTTGTTCATTTTTGTGGGAGTTTGGCAATTATTAAGCCCATTCTAATTATGTTGTGCTGAGAATGCCATTTAATTATAGAATCGAATCGGAAATTGATCAGAAGTAATCTTGAAATATTCGCATTCCTCGCATTGATATTTATCCATATTTATACCCTTGCAGGGTATTATAATTTCAGTCAGAAGTTTGCAACGCAGTGAAGGAGGCACCTCCGACCATATAAAGTATATATATTCTTGATCAGGATCAACAGCCGTGTCGATCTAGCCATGTCCGTCTGTCCGTCTGTCCGTCTGTCCGTCTGTCCGTCTGTCCTTCTGTCCGTCTGTCCGTCTGTCCGTCTGTCCGTTTCTACGCAAACTAGTCTCTCAGTTTTAAAGCTATCTGAATGAAACTTTGTAGTTAGCCTTCTATATACTCTCACTCGTATATATGTCGGAACGGGCCGGATCGGACGACTATATCATATAGCTGCCATAGGAATGATCGGAAAATTTTTACAAAAAAAATTTTAACATTTTCAGTTTTCAATAGAATTGGATCAAATTTGAGATATATCCATTTTACTATACTCTACAAGTTTGTGTAAAATTTTATGAAAATCGGACTACTATATCATATAGCTCCCATAGGAACGATCGAGAAATTAATACAATTAAAAATTATAATTTTTTCAGTTTTCAACAGATTTTCATCAAATTTGAGGTGTAGCCATTTTATATTAGTCTTAAATTTTGTGTCAAATTTCATGAAAATCGGACGACTATATCATATAGGTGCCATACAAACTATTGTTTGATGTAGAAGAAAAATGGAAATCTGTGAACGAAAAGCTTCAAATATAATATGTATAGGTGAATGAAATGAAAGCAGGTATTACTTCATTGTTTTTTAACACAAATATATATAATTTATATGGTATGGATTCCTAGTCATAGAATTTCTATCTGCAAGGGTATATAAACTTCGGCGTGCCGAAGTTAGCTTCCTTTCTTGTTTTATGACTATTTTTCGACAAATCAAAGTTTAAAAAACTCATAACTAAGCCAAAAATGCATTAATTTTAATTTGAAAAGCGCTCCTATGTTAGTTTTTATTAGATTTATAAGCCTGCATACTCAATTTATAATTTAAGAAACTTTAATTTTTTGCCAAATTTGTAAAATTTTAACGATGTAACCCCTTATAAAATTTAGAAATTTTGAAGAAAAATTTTGAAAATTTATTTTTGACCGGAGATAGATAGGTTGATTCTGCTGTTGATTCTGATCAAGAATATTTGAGTCCTTCAGTGCATTTAAAGCTTCTGACTAAAATTATAATGCCATTCTTTGGGTCGATATATGTATATTTATATTTTTTATAACAATTTGTTTAGCGAATCAAAGTTTAAAAAGCTCATAACTAAGGCAAAAAATAATTAATTTCAATTTGGCTATAGCTAGCTATATTTTTAGGTAGCGGTTGGGTTAGCTTTTTTGTGCTCTGAAGTTTGCAACACTGTTGTTAAAGTTTAAGTTTTTAAAAGAGAATTCACTGGAACCCGTAGCACTGCCGGTCCGGGTTCGAGTCCCGGTAGTAAGTAGCATGGTCACCCCCGGACCTTCCTTCCATTTTCCATTGAACTTCTCCCATCACTATTGTAAAAAAGTTGCTATACTACAGTAATTGTACAATAATAAAATTCAGCTCAATAAATAAGCATTTTTAAAAAAAAAAAAAAAAAAAAAAAATTAAAAGAGAACACAGTAAGTTATTAAGAGCATAAAAAACTCCCTGATAGTGATGGCAAAGAATCATCGATTGTCGGAAAAAACATTCGATGATTGAGAAAATACGAAAAGCATCGATGCATCGATGTTTTCATCAATGTTTTGCGCACCTCTATTATTCGGTTTAAAAATAAAAACGATTCCACGTGAACATATTTGGTGAATCACAATCTTATGAGATAAACCGGCGGCTTTGGCCAATATTAATTCGGGAGTGATTTGATTGTGATAGAGGGCTGCCGCCGGGTATTGGCGGTCTTAAGTGAACTTGTGAAACTGTGCTTGTGGTGGCTGCGGACGCGGCGCTCAACATGTGAGGTTAAAGCAGATAGACAAACAGACGGCGGCAAGGAAAACAATTTAAATTAACGTCTCGTGGAGATTAACCAGCAGCCGGGATCTGGTGACGTATACCACCTGTGCATCCTAAAGGTAATGGTCAGGAAATTCTGCTGCCATCGTCAATCCTCTGGGGGGCCGATGGGTGCTCCCGTGGGCAGCGCAATGTGAATTCGCAAGTAATCGGGTCTGGCCTTCTAGCATTTCGCCTGCATCTGGCAGGTGGATTTCAGCTGAAAACGCTTTCCAAACAAAATGTCCACGGTGTCTCGTGCGTATGGATCTGATATGTGATAGTGAAGAGGTGTTCAATTCAATTGTTGTTAAGCTCAAAAAAGCACATGGCGTGGCGGCGGCATTTACTCACACACACTCATACACGTGGTTGGAGCCCAACACATGTGCGGCGCGCGTTCTCTTCTTCTTCTATGTGTGTGCGCATGTTTGTTATTGTTGTCGGCAAGTGTTTAGTTCTTGTCTCAATATAATTAACAATTCTGGATATAATTTTGTACTGTCTAGAAATGACTATAGTTTGTTTAAGATCAGTTTGTCAGTCGCCGTGTTGCCTGTTTTTCGTGAGAAGTGTGTTGACGGGTGGGGGTGGGTGAGGGGAACCGCATGTTGCTTTCTCCTCGTGCCACGCAGTATGTTCACTTTGGGTCATTTAATATCTTATTTTATTTATTAATTTTGAAAAGAATCCAAGAAATTGTCTTTCTTTGACTTGGGCTTAATTCATTTTTCATACACAGCTAGTTTTAACTTCCTCAAAACAACGAAATGTAAAATGCTGAGTTGTTAAACTTAAAATGTTACAGCTGCTTAATTTGCATAATAATAGGGTTCAACGCTTTTATATTAAAGACTTTGTTGATTTGGCTTAAAAAAATGAATTTAATTTATCAGATTGTTGATTTGGCTTAAAAAAATGAATTTAATTTATCAAATTTAAAGATTGAATTAATAAATAAATATCTTTTATTCTCTTTAAAAGCCCTGTTCCACTGGATTTAAATTGCGAATTTTAAGTGCATAATTTTTTATCTGTTTCTATACTGTGGCGGATACTGTGGCAACACTAGTGCCACGCTAATTGTCCACCATGCGCTGGAATGCCAGCGTTGCCCCATATCGTGCAAACTTTGGCGCCAAATTCAAACTGTGATAAAGACATTGACGTTTTGCTGGACTATTTATTTTATGTAAATTATTTTAACAATGTTAATCTAGTTTTTGGTCTTTTTCGGGAACTTCCTGTGCTTCTTTTGGCGCGGAACCCGTCGGGGTTCTAGGAGATTATATTTGTCACGCATCTTTGCTAAAATTGGATCGCGATTTTGCACGAGGCATGTCATTTGCTGCTCCACAATGTCGGCCAAAGCGTCCGGCAGCTCGACGCACGACTCCACGAAAATATTGCAGGACGCCAGATCCTTCAGCTGATGTTGCAGCTGGCTGTCGGTGCCAGTCAGCATGAAGTAGCCAGAGTTGCCAAAGAACTTTGGCGGCACTGGTCCTGAATCACCAGAAGTAGAACAGTCGACATTCGGGAATATGACACCCTTTATTACTGCTTTGTCGCTAGAAGGAAATATCTCGTACATATCCTTATATATTTGATCCAACAATTCAACCTTATCGATGGTACCAGTTCCTTTTGGGGTTCCACTACTGTGATGGGTCTTCTTCTTCTTACAGTTGTTAGCTTCATTTTTCATTCCCTTGGATAGCGCCACAAGCGGAGGCTGTTTGGTGTGCTTTGGCAGGTTCCTGTCTAAAATGGCGGTGCTCTTTAGGTTGTCAGACTGATTTTCCCACTTAACATTCGCTACTGCTTCGTCGCTTTGGGGATTTATCTCATGCAGATCCGTCCATAGTTGATCCAATTCCGCCTCATCGGTGGTACTTACTGCATCATATGAGGAGTATTGTTCTTCGTTTTTATCCAAAGAATTTCCTAGCTCCCAGTTTTTCAATGTTAGCTCCTCCTTTTGCTCTGACGTGGGCACAAGCGAAGGCCGGTTGATGTGCGTTGCCATGTTCCCGTCGATAATGTCGCTGCTTTCTAAACTGTCAGACTGCTTGTCCCACTGAACATCAGGAGACAAACCACCATTTGCTACTGCCTCGTTGCTAGGACGTAATATATCGTCCAGATCCTTTAATATTTGATCCAATTTTGCCTGATCGAAGCTAAATATAGGCGAGGAAGAGTGTTGTTCTTCGTCTTTATCCAAGTCATTTCCCAGCTTCCAGACATTCCGAGTTTTATCTGGGGTTCCACCGGGTGGAAGGGCTGTTTTCTTCTTTACCAATTTAGCACAGGTCACTAGATTATCGAATTGCTGTACCACGGCGAAATTCGGGGACAAGCTACATTTTGGTACTACCTTTTCGTCGGTGGGACAAAATATCTCGTCCAGATCCTTCCAAATTTGATGCAACAATTCATCCTCATCGATGGTGCTTATGGAATCGGTTGAAGACGATTCTTCTTTATCCAGAGCATTTCCCACCTCCCAGGCATTGGGCGTTCCTTTTGGGGTTCCCCCAAGTTGATGGGCTTCTTTCTTCTGCACAAACTCGTCACATGATGTGATTGTTACTTCCTCCTCTTGCTCCGCCGTCGACACAAGCGGAGACCGGTTGATGTGCTCAGCCAGGTTTTCGTCTATATTGACCCTTCTTTCTAAATTGCTGGACTTCCTTCCCAGATGGTTCTTTTGCTCTTCTTTAGCGGCATTTTTCTTAACAGTGTCCGCTTTGCGCTGTCGTCTTGTTTTTACCTTCCTGGGCATTATTTTTCGTCCTTATTTTCTTAACGAAAGTATGTGGTCCGCATGAATTTTGGCTTCCGAATGAAATGCAATTTTTTGTGCTTGACTTTGACATTGACACATAACATTTGACAGCTTTGGCCATGCAGCCTTGATATTTTTGAAAGACTAAATTTATGCTTGCTTATTTCCAGTTAATGTGGAAGACCTAATTGGAGCGTAATGGACTCTCGAATGCTGAACGTATTCCAGGAAGATCCCTTCGAGGGAAGCTTTGCTAAATATGAAACTGAACCAGACTTCTGGTCACCCAATAATGAGTAAGTGTAGTCCGTCCTTTCTCTTGAGTAAGAAGAAACTCATGCCATACCGCCATCTCCTCTAGTCTTGAGCTGACAGACACACTCAACGGCATTCTGCCAATCGCGCCCACAGACGAATCTCTGCTGACACCCAGCCGGGAGGAGGAGCTGCAAAACAGAAAGAACCTGGTAGGTTTGGCTGAAGAAGCGTTCACGTGGTCGGTCTTAGGTTCTATAAGTATCGATTCTTTGAATAGCTGATCTACAGTGACTTTGTGGAGCAGCAGCTGGACGGCGAGGATGCCAATCTGCTCAATGCCAAGGTCTACAATGAGGTGGAGGCGGTCTACGATCAGCAGCGCCAGATTAGTGCCATCGTGGACTACGACCGAGAAGATGATACCCACGACGAGGATGACGTGCAGAGCCAGTGCAGTAACTCCACATTTCGCACGCGCACGGACAGTTCCTCCATTGGTGACTACGAGTCGCATTCCAGCGACTACGAGGACGAGTACGATGATATCGTCGACGGGGACTTGAACAATGGCACAGTCCCCAGCTTGCATCAAACCATCATAAATGAGCGCAAGATTCGTACCCTAAGCACCAATACCATTACCTCAGAGAATGACGCATTCGGTCTGAATATTGATGTAAATAACTTTGACTTGGCTGATTTTATCACCAAAGATGACTTTGCCGAGAACCTCAACGCTTGCCGCATAAAAGAGGCTATAAAAACGCAAGCACCAGCTATACACATTGCTGAGACAGTGAGAGCCCCAGCTCCTGCTCCTGTCCCTGTCCCCACTTCTGCTCCCATTAGTCCCCCAAACGTGGTGGTGCCAAGGCCCGCAGTAATTCCCTCCAAGGGTCTCAACTCTGATGATGATGATGATTCCGACTCGATCATTGATGTTGAAACTGTAGATGTTGTCGATGTGGACGAGACTTTATGGGCAGCTGGACAAGCTGCCGATGATTTATGCTTTGTGGACAATGTGAAGGACGATCCATCCTGGTGTCCCAAGGTCAACAAGAAGCCTACCGTGTCACCGGTTAAGGAGGTTAGTACTACAACTAAGTAAAACATGACATAACTAACTATATCTCCTATATTCAAGCAGCATAAATCAGCACCGCAGCCGGTAGAAGTCCCGGTTGTAGTTGCAAGCAAGCCCAAGACAGCTGCAAACATATGCTTGGTGCCCAACAAGAAGCAGTGCGACTTCCTTAAACGAAAGGTTGGCTCCTCCGTTACGAGCAAGTCAAGCAAGTTGGCAGCCAAAAAAGCGCATGATGCCACAAAAACTGTTGGCAACAAACAGCCGGCAGTAAGCCAAGTTCAAGGCAAGGGATTGGGTTCGAGTGGAAAGAACCTGTCGCTGCTGAAGCAGGAAAGGGAAGCCGCTGCAGCGGTAGAAGCGTCTGTACAACCTTCTCCCACAATTACGCCAACGCCAACGCCCACACCCACACCCACGCCGTCTACGGTAACGGCTACAAAGCGAAAACTGAACCTAGAGGAATATAAACAGCGGCGTTGTGGCGGCGCTTTAGCTGTCCCCAAAACGAAGCCCCCTCCTGCTAAGCAGCCAAAGTTGGAAACCCCTTCACCTTTGCCAGTCCCTGCTGTGAAACCAACGCCATCGCCCCAGAAAGCTGTTATAGCCAATATAGTAAGCAGTCTAAAGTGCCCCAGCAAAGAAGTCAGTGCCGTGCCCATGGACCCAATTACCGTGGCCAAGAACAAGGTGTTACGCATGCTAGAGATGAAGCGGGCTCAGCAACTCAAGATCATCGATTCACGCGTGTCAGCGAAGGTGCCGCGCGTAACGAAGCTGCCGCCACTTAAGGATATTGTCAAGGATACATACTGTATGGAGGTGGATCCAGAGCCAGAGACTCCTGCCAAGCAGAGCAATAAGCTCCACCCGGACTACGAGGAGATCATCATTGTTTCGGTTAGCTGCAACACGGATATAACGATACCGCCGAATCAGCTAAGCAAGGCCTCGCCGCGCTCGCTGCTGAAGTCATCGGTCCTGCTGTACAATATATCCAATGGGCAAGATGCTAACAAAAATATGAGCAACTCCCTGATAGCTAGTATACAAAGCGAGGTGGTTAGACAAACCAGCTGCACAGCTCTCGCCTCCTTGGCGCAAAATTCTGCGAAGGCTTCGACTGATAAAAATATTCAGCATGGCGAGGACATGGTCATCATGCACTTGCCCAAGGATCGTGTGCGTAAGGCTCTTGTGAGCATGGCCACCCAGACAGATCTGCAGCCCGAATTCCCCCTCATGGCGCTACCAACCGTAAGAAAGTCTCGTGAGCGAACGCGACGGAATTATCGGAAGCGACGGTGTCATAGATCGGCCTCGGGCTCAAACGGATCAAGTTCCTCAAGGGGCTCTTACACGGACTGCAGCAGCTTGGCAAGCTCTCGGTCTCGGTCTAGATCCAATTCCATTGAGCAGCTGCGAGACCTGGAGGCAGGTGCCACTGGTAGCAGTATTGGCCACGGTGGTGGTTATTCCTCGCGTAGCACACACCGCCACCGCAGCTCGGTGAGCTCATCATCGTACTCAGAGGCAGGGAAGTACGAGCGCCGGCAACGTCGCACTAGTTACAACAAGCGGAGGTCTAAAAACCAAAAACGAAGCTCCTTTTCCTCCTCTGGATCTGCCTCCGAGAACAGCGATCGCGAGCGCAGTCGCAGTCCGCATCGCAGAATACAGCGGTCGCGCTCTCGCTCCAGGTCTGACACACGGTGCCAAAATAACAACAATAGACGCGGATTTACGGACCGCAACGTATCGCAGCCCGCTGTGGAGGAGCGTCGCATCGTCTACGTCGGACGCATTGAGCAGGAGACTACCAAGGAGCTGCTGCGGCGGAAATTTTTGCCCTACGGCAGTATCAAGCAGATAACAATACACTACAAGGAGAATGGGTAAGCAGCTTTGAAGCCAATTAAATCTGTTATCCAAGCTTACAGTTGGATTTTTTTTAACTTACAGAATGAAGTACGGCTTTGTGACGTACGAGAGAGCGCAGGACGCATTCACGGCCATAGACACGAGTCCCAGGGACCCCCAAATCAACATGTATGATATTAGTTTTGGCGGCAGGCGTGCCTTCTGCCGTGCTTCCTACGCTGACTTGGGTGAGTAGATACAAAACGTTGCATGTTTTATTTTTCTAACTTCTCTCATTTTTCCTTCTAGATAACGCTGGTATCAACAACTACCACACGTATGTGTTTCCCCAGGAGACCCCAGCTCCCAAAGTGCAGGAGGAGGATTCCTTCGAAGCTTTGTTGCGGAAAGTGAAGGCGAAGCTTAATGCTGGCAAGCCTGCATCCTCCGAGGCGGCAACTGTTGTTTTGGAGGCACAGCCTGTACCCCAGAATCAGGACCAGCAATGACATATTGGCAGAAAAAGGCTAACATTCTTATTTTTGCATATTCTGAGAATGTGAGAATGTGTCCACTACTACCTGCTTGTATCTTTCTGCATGAATAGTAGTTCAATCCACGAAGTTTCTAGCTGCACAACTTAATAGCCTGATAATGATTCATAACTAATCATATGAACTAGTTGACAGCAATTCAAAAACTAGGATAAATTTAATGACCGATAATGAAAACAAAACAAAAACAAAACGGAAGCAACAAGAAATTGAAACGAAAATGGAATTGTGATAACCGCGTAATGCAAACAAAGTCATTTATTGCATGTAAGTTAGCAGAAGATCCATAGAAATAGTTAATCCAATCCGATTAGAGCTTCGTAACAATCTATTAAACCACCAAACCAATGGAACTGAATACAGAAACAGCCACCCAGCCCACTATAATAGCAGTAAAAACAACGAAACAGGTAACAAGGACGGACAAGCCGTTTATATTAAAAAGAACACAAAGATAAATACAAATAAAATATTTGAAAGAGAGCAAGGAACGCGCATGCAGCATGTGTCGGCCACGAATTAAACTGTTGATAACTAAACTTTGATATTAGTTTGTAAAGAGAATATTTTGTACGTACGTTTAATTTAATCATTGAATAGCAACCAACCAACCAACCATCAACCACAAAAGCTGCACTTTAACTAGCCACGTACTACCTATGTTTAAAATCCGGCAACACAGACTGATAGGCAGATCAGTTGAGTTTCTTTAGTTTTTTGTAGAATTTTTTGAAATTTGTTCAAGTATACCTGGACTGACTTTGCTTAAAGCCCGTTATTGATTTAGGAACGTTAACTAAAATAAAACAACAAATGAGTTTAAACAATGCCCAAGAACACTATGAAAGACGCAACTATTAGTTACTTAGGCGCAAAGAAAACGTATTTTAAGTATCAACCACAAATTGTTTTTAAGTTCTTTTGTACTACCTTCGTTTTGATAATTTAATAAAACCTTGCTAGTTTCAGAAAAATGAATAAACATTTAGGTGTATTAAAGACTTTAAATCATAAAAGGGGGAAATAGTTTTCACATGATTGTTTGTAGGATGGAGTTTAATTTGTAACTTAAACTATTGAATATATACAGAGTATACAAACATCGGCTTCCCGAGTTTGCTTTTTTCATATTCATGGTTTTTTCCCTTTAAATTATAATTTATGCATATTTCGGGAACTACAATACATGCATTAATTAGGTCCAAAACATATGTTTCAATTGCGGGTCAAGGTTTGTTCGTTATTTTGTTGCAAATAAGTTTACTGCAGAAGCAATCAATTGGAAAGTTTCCCCGTACGGATGAAAAGGATATATGTATGTAAACTGCATCTATTGCTGCAATTGAAGGCTCCAGCCACAATGAAAGCAGGCACTGCTGTTCCTGGAAGCCAGAAAGACCGCAACAATGGTTGGGGATTGGATCAAGCCAGTCGCCTACCAGGTTGGTCATGTGATTGATTCAGATTGCTCGTCCTTTGGGGCCACTGCCCATCCTTTGTAAGCGCTTTGTCGTGGTTATGCGAATGAAAGGGCGATTGCCCGACGATGAGGTCTTTAGTGGCCACAGCAGACAAATAACGAGAGTTAATGGTGATGGCGGCGTCATTACACAACTCTGCTCAAGTAAAGTCGCTCGTTTTGGGATAATTAAATGGGGTGTGTCTGTTTTCGCAAAGCCCTTGGCTTAATCGTCCACTTCTTGGACAGTCTAATTGGCATCAGGCAACATCAATACCCATTCGCGATGTCTATCAGCAACACGTGGAGATGACCATGTTAAGCGCTTGGTTTCTCCCAATTATTGTGTGTAATTTACAAACTTTTCCAGACCAACATTATTTCTGTTGACAAAATGGCATAATAATTAATTACATTGTGTTTACTGTAAAGCATATGCTGTTATTGTTAAGTTGGTAAACAGGGAAAACTAACAACTAAAACACGTACCCGCCCCGTGGGACGTAGGATGTGGGACTTGGGAGGCTCGCAATAAAGGCAGACGGGAAAGAACTGTGTCGACACAATGCGATTGTGGCAGCCTTTGTCTGTGAAAGGGAAACACAGTAAAACTGAAATTCAAGGAGCTGTGCTGTGAGCTCCTCTGTCTATCTGTCTGTTTGTCGATGCCATCTTATGGATGAAAAGTGTCACTTGCAAACGCTTTCAAGCTACGTAAACAACAAGCGGCATATCAAAAACAGTCGACATTTGAGTTTTCATGCTGAGTAGTGAAGGGACTAAGCAAATAATTGACGGTTTAAAGTTAGTTGGATGTTGTTTATTATAATTTTTATTAACTCGGAACTTTTCTAACTCGTTATTTGCTATTATGAACACCAGTTGGATGTAGCAAAGTTCCGAGACGCCTTAAATTTTAATGATGACAAGTTTAAGTATAACTTGCGTCCACCTTTTAGTTTCTTAAAGGTCTCCCAAGAAGTTGACTCAAGCTTGCATTTTTGCCTCTAATGAAGCTCCCCCTTGAAAATAATTCTATTGTATCTTATTTGAAATTCCCGCTGCCAGGTTGTCAGTGGGGAATGACCAGCACAAGCGCTGCAGTTGACACCTACTCCTCGTACTGGGAATTGGGTGAAGAATTCGCGTAATATTGAGAGCCTGGCTAGCGACAGTTACACTTGAAGTGCTTGCCCTCTACTTCGACTCCATTTGCAGCACCTGCACCTGCGCCTGCGCCAGCCCCACCATTTTTTTGGCCCAATCGTTTGGCCAAACTGTGTTGTGGTTTCAGTTCGGCTTTGGGCACTCAACAGTGCGGCGGTTTCTCCTCGCAAGGCGCTTCTGTTCGGGCAGTGAAACAGCACTGGAGTGCGAAATCCCAGAAGTGAGATTCGGCCGGCGGTTGTCGTTGGAGCAGTGCGAATAAATATCACTTATGAACACGAACCAAGATCCTGGAGCGGGGTAATGCGTGATGCGGATGTGTCGCCTCGCATGCTGAATTGACTTAAATAACCCGCCACGTTATCCAGCAGGACAGCAGGATTCAGCATCCAAGGTAGGCGTCCATAGGCAAAGTACTTTAATTGAATACCCTCGTTCGACGCCACGTAACAAACATATAGTATTTAGTGATTTATGGGCCAGTCCAAAACGTAGAGCATTAATCAGGCCGCACACACTAAAATAACGTGGACGCCGACGAAAAGGCAGCCACCGTTCTCAGTCCCCCAGCCATGCCTTCGGGTGATAAATGCCGGGCATTAGTTAAAACTTGAACAAAATGTGGTCCGTTTTTGGACCAGAGATGCTTCTCTGTATTCATGGCTTTGGGCCTTGGAGGCGACGCGACGATTTCAGGCCCACGAGGACCAGAAATGAGAATGGAAAACTCATTTCCCGTCATCGCCAAAGCAACGCAAATTGAATATGGTTCGTTTGGACTGAGATTTTCCGTTTTGCTTAGCCCTAAACAGGATATTGTTTTTAGGACGTTGCCGCCTCTCAGCCAACGAAAAGGGAAATTAGCATTTTAGGCGGATTTATTTGGCGGTTAAGAAGCGGTCTTGCCACGTCCGCCCAATCGTTTGATGTCCATCCATGCAGACGCCCTCAAGCCGCCTGGCTCCTGACAGGTTAATTAGGCCCTCGGAGCATTTATGGAACCGATGCAGCCCTCGAAACGGACCATTCCTCCTGGCCGGCGATTCATGAATCCGAGCTAGTGCCCCGCACGTGACGGAGGTGAACGTGCTCCAGGACCAAACCGGGCAATCGGCCATCTGTCCCAAACGAATGAGAAACGTTTTATGACAAATATTTATATTGAATTTGATTGGTTTTTGTTTCGGTTCGATTTGTTGATAGCACACGCTCCGAATTTCTCCAATAACTTCCCTGTGATGGGGTCTTTGGATGAAAACCAAACACAATGGCCACATTCCCAAAAAAAAAAATAAATAAAATGCTGGACATGCATAAATCAACTGGTGTTGGTCCCCCTAAATGTGACTAGTTCTACCCATATAAGTATGCTATAAATTATTTTAGCTGCCAAACCCTATGGAGAAATGCGAATTTTTCAATGAAAACTAAACAGTCGTAGAATAAAAATAATGTTTATAGAACTAAAGAATTTAATTCAAGAGAATTCGGACTATTAAACTGTGTTGAAATTTATTAAAAACAATTAAGTTAAACAAGTTCTTCATGTCAAAATATATATACCTTGCAAAGCCTAAAACATACACATTCTTTGAGTAGTTGTTTATTTATAACTAAGCCAAAAAAGCATTCATTTCAATTCGGAAAACGTATTTATGCTAGTTTTTGCTAGGTTAATAAATCTGCATATCCAGTTTAAAATTAAAAATTGTATTTTGACCCGACATAGCTAGGTCGATTCGGCTGTTGATTTTGATCAAGAATATATATGATTTATGGGGTCGGAAATGACTCCTTCAGGCTTTACAAGCTTGTGAGTAATACCTGAAAAGGTATAACGAGAAATTATTTCATTCTATGGTTTTGCCTTCTCTGAACTAAATATCCAAGTGATTAACTGCTTTAAAATATAATTTCCTGTTGTTGTCGAAGTTTTGTTTTCGTGTTGCATGGAAAATGCTGTGGTCGCAACTGTTGCACAATTTTCTGCACATACACTCAGCCACTAATTTGAATACGGCGGACAACACGGTTTCCCGGAAAGCAGCAACACAGTAATTCAACGGAATGTGTGGGAGCCTGGAGACTTGATAATTATTAAGGCCAATTAGTCTTATCCAACTCACGCTGAGATAAGCCCGTGGCAATAGCAAGTCCTTGCATTGAACAGCTCATTATGTTATGCAAAGAAGTGCGTATGCGTATGCGTGTGCTGGCAATCAATTAAACTGATTGCCACACTGCAGTGCCGGAAATTGGCCAAATAATGAAGCGATTGCGGGGTTCAAGGGGTTCTCCCGGAACATAAACAATTGTATAGGAATTGCTGTAAATCCTAACGTAAATCCTCTATAGGGAAATTTACATTTTCCACGAAATGTATCTTAATTTATCAGATTGAAAGCCTAGCCAAAGTAAACAAAATAAGTGTGTAGAAATGGACTCACCTAAATGAGTTTTAACTAGTTAATTAGAAAAACATTTCTGCATAAATGTTGTTAAAGCTAATCTATTAAATTCGTACTAAAGCACTTTGATAGGGTGCTTTTAGAAAATCTCTTTAAACCTCTGAATTAAATTAAATGGTTTTCCATGATGATTCACCATGGAAGCTGGAATATATTGACATAAGGGCGCTCACTTACAATCTCACAATGTATACAGAAACACTTAGTTACCTGAAGCCGTGTATTTGGAGCCCCTGACAACACATTAAAGGTGTCCCTGCTGATTGACTTTCAT